GTAGTAGTAGTAGTAGTAATAGTAGTCGTAGACGTAGTCGTAGTAGTAGTAGTAGTCGTAGTAGTAGTAGTAGTAGTAGTAGTAGTAGTAGTTGTTGTTGTTGTTGTTGTTGTTGTTGTTGTTGTAGCAGCGGCAGTTGTTCTCCTGCGTGCAATCCGAAGGCGAACTGCCCTGGAAACAGCGGTGCTCCCGTTGGCTCGCTTGCCGCATCTGATGCTCACCAGGGGGCGTCCGTCCAGCGGAACGGCGACGTCGCCGCAGCCTCGGCAGCGGTGGTCGTGCTCGTGCACCAGTGGTCGGCGGCGAGCGAGGGGGGGGGAAGTGAGAAGGAGAAGGCCTTCTCCGAGGGCGGCGGGTTTCTCAGACGCCCTCGCGCCTTCTGAGAAGTTTTTCTGGTCCTCGGGGACAGCTTGGACAACTTCTCGGAAGGCCGGGGGACTTCTGGGCCTTGTGACAAGGCCTTCTCCTCCTCGCTTCCCCCCCCCGGGCTCGCTGCCGAAGCGGAAGTGGAGGTCCCACTGCGGGGCGTGCCGCACTTCTCGAGGGCTCCCAACTTCGCGCTTCGCGCCGCGCGAAGCGCGAAGTGCGAATAACTTCGCGCTCTCGCGCCGCCTCCCAAGGGAGAAGAGGAGCATGAGGAATCGGAGCCGCACCGCGGAGCGCGAATCACTTCGCGCCCTCGAGGGCGCCCCTTGCTTCTGCACCCTCCTCGGATCTCCACGGGAGCGGCGCTCCCGCCGCAGCGCCGACCCTGCGGTTCCTGAACCCTCGGCACCGTGTGCCGCGGCGGCGGCCCCGGCGCGACGTCGCTGCGCCTCGCAGGCGGACGGCGCGCCGCTCCGCCCCGCGGGGCGCGAGGCCAGGGAGGCTCGGGGCGCCGACGCCGGGGCAGGGGGGACGTCGATGGCGTGTCACGCCTCCTCCTCCTCCTTCTCCTCCTTCTCCCCCTCCTCCTCCTCCTCCTCCTCCTCCCCCTCCTCCTCTTCCTCCTCCTCCTCTTCTTCCTTCCTCACCTCTCCCCCTCCTCCTGCTGGGCTCGGCACGAACGACATGGGGACGGAAAGAATGGGTGCAATGCCCAACAGCAGATCCTCTTCCCTTTGGACAGGGCTCGCTGTCCGCGCCGCCGCGGCCTGTGTCCATTCGAGACAGAAGGCCGCCTGCCCAACAGCGGCCGCTGCTGGTTTGGGACAACATGTGTTGTTGGGCATTGTGCCCATGTTTTTCCCGTGCCCATTTCGCGCGTCCAAAGCCGAAGCGTGGTGGGCCAGCACCGGCGGCGGGACACGCCCAGCCGACGTTCGTGGCCGCAGCCATGCATCCGCACGGGCTGTGCTCCCCCCTGCAGCATGCGCCTCATGGGTTTCTGCCGGTCTTCCGTCCAGCGGAACAGCGCTCTCGCCGCGCCGCTGGCCACCCCCTGTCTCCGGATGTGCTCTGTCTCCTGCGCGCCATGCACTGCTGTGCCCAACCAGCAGGACATAGCGTGCTGACACGGAGCTCAACACGTAGCCTGAAGACGCAGATGTGGCGCGATACGCCAGAACGTGGGCCAACACACTGGGCCAACACGCAGCGCGTTGACACGGACGGTTTGAACACGGCACGTGTTGCGTTTCAAAACGGGTGTATCAGGGGAGCTAAAAAAAACGTGGGGATCAAGGATTTCCATGACACCCGACGCTGCGAATGGAGAGGGGTTCAACCAACGCAGTAGAAAGGGATGGGGGGGGGATAGGACGTCAGATATGGCGCGAGGGCACCTTGCTTGTCCCTCTCTCTCCCTCTCGCTCCCTCGTTCTCTCTCTCTCTCTCTCTCCCTCCTGCCTCCACTCCTCTCTACTCATTCTCTCTCCGTAGCCCTTTTTGTTGCTCTTCCTCCCACGTAGCGGTCGGTCTCTTCCTGGGCCATTCGCCCGTTCAGGGTTTCTGCCCAGAGAGCACAGTTTCTTAGTTGTTGATTTGACGGTCTGCAAGCGTAGCTTCCAGGAAGTTGCAATTCCAGCTGACAGCAACAAGCGAGTTCTGAGCTTCGAACCCTGCCCCTCCTCCTTCTCGCCCTCCTCATATTGCACCTCGCCCACCCGGAAGGTGGATTCCCTGGGTGCTCCAAATATTTGGGTTAGACCTGTCTCCTGTATGGGGTACACCCGGCCGCTGTACGAGCAGAACACCTGCCGATGAGGGGGCACGGCGTGAGAGGAGGAGGGGGCAATGGGGAGGAGGACGAGGCCACGCTTCCTCCTCTGCGTATCGATGACCTCGATCTCCCTTGCGCACTGATGTGTGGCCTGCTGCTGCTGTCTCTTCTTATTATATACACTATCATTATTATGTTTCTTGTTATTATTCTTCTTCCTCTTCTTCTTCTTCTTATTATTATTCTTCTTCTTCTGATTATTCTTCTCTGCTCCTGGCCACAACCACGACGCCCTGCCTGGCCTGGTCCCAGCAGGGGCTGGGATGGTTCTGACCGTGGTTGACGTTGCCCGACCAGATGGCAAGAACCAAGAAACCAGCTTGAACTGGCTTGAAACCGAAATCCCGCCCCGCCCCCCCAGGACGAGATCGCCTAGGAGCGCGCGCTCTCGCGCACCGTGGTCGGGGAGGGATGAGCGAAGGAGGGAGGGAAAGGGTGGAGGAAAGAGAGGAGGAAGAGGGATGGCAAGAAAAACAAACAAAACATAAGGAAACTGGCTTGAATGGGAACAGGCGTCGGATCGTCCCGCAACGGAACGGAGCCGGCACCGAGTCCACTCCGCTGCGCCAGGAGCCGCGACCGGCACCGAGCGAGCAGCGGGCCGCCTCGGATCGCGGGAAGGCCGAGACCGCATCGGATCGGGCCGGCCGACATCGACATCAAACCGGATCGATTGGACTGAAATGGCGGGTTCCAGAAACAATGCGCCATCGTCTGGGGGTGGGGGCGAATTAATGGGGGGCGATCATCTACGGGGGAGGAGAAAAGTGCCCTGTTCTGGCCCCAGAGGCCCCTTCTTGGGCCCTATGGAGGGCTCCTCGAGGCCCCTGAAGGGCTCTTTTTCGGCAGCCCTCGCCGACCCCCCAGTTCTCGCCCCCCATTACGCGGCCTGCGCCTCCTCCTCCTCCTTCTCCTCCTCCTCCTCCTCCTCCTTCTCCCCGCCCCCTCCTCCTCCCCGCCCCCCCTCCTCCTCCTCCTCCTTCTCCTCCTCCTCCTCCTCCTCCTCCTCCTCCTCCTCCGTCCTTCCCCTCCTCCTCCTACTCTCCCTCCTCCCTCGCCCTCCTCCGGAGCGCGCCACGTGGACCCCGGAGGGCGGTCTCCGCGACAGCTCGTGGGAGCTTCCCAGACCCTCTCGCTGGCTCCTGCGGGCCCGACGCGGGCCTGCCCCTAATCGACGCTACAGCGGCGCCACAGCGACGCCACAGCGACGCTACAGCGACGTTACGTCGACGCAGAATCGACGCCACATCGACGCGACCTCGGCCCAATCTCGTCGATTACCAGACGCGAGGCGATGCTGGTGCTCTCGGAAGACGGAACTGCGGCGGTACGCACGGCTCCCATGATTTGCGACCGAAGGCGAGTGCGTTCCTCCTGGAACGCGCCAAACTTAGGCGGACGAAGATCGGCGTAACAGAAACGATTCCTCGATCGGAGACACCTGCCCCAGGGCGGCTGTAAAGACCCTACCCCCGCCTGCCAGCGCGGGGGTATAACCCTTCTCAGCCGCCCTGGGACAGGCGCCCCCGATCGAGAGACAGACTCTCATATACCGTCCTCCGCCTACTCCGATCCTAGAGGGCGGGGCAGGGGGGAAAGAGAGAGAGAGAGAACGAACGAACGAACGAATGACAACCAATGCGGACAGCAGTCCAAGCCGACTTGAGACCAGGTGAGCGAGGCCGTGGCCTCCAAAATACTGTTGTGTATGGTGAGGCATGCATGCGAGACAGGTAAAACATTATGCGAAACGGAAGGGGGAGGAGGAGGAGGAGGGGGAGGAATCCTTGTTGTTGGAGTCGTCGTGTATCGGTGGTGCTGCGTCGGTGGGGGAGCGACAGAAAAGCCGGCCACAGACGGCGCCGAGAGGCGGCCTTGCTGCCGAACTGCATCTCGCCGTCGCGCACGGCCAGCAGCAAGACCACGCCGCGCCTCTGCGCGCGCCCCGCGCGCCGCCCGTCGTCGTCCCGCTGCGGCAGCGACCGCGGCGGCGGCGACTGCGACGGCAAGGACGGCGACCCGCGGCGACCCTTGCGGCGACGACGGCGACGACGACGGCGCCCGACGGCGACCTCTGTGGCGGCGACGGCGGCGATGCCAGCGGCAGCGACGACGGCGGAGGCCGCCGTCGGCGGCGGCACCTGCTGCCGCGGCCGAACCGCGGGCGGGCCACGCGGGGCCGGGGCGCGCAAGACAGGCGAGCGGCGAACAAGAGCAGAGCCTTGCGAGCGGCGAACAAGAGCAGAGTCTTGCGCGAGAGGGCACGGCGACCTGGCGCGGCGGCCTCACGCGGGCCGCCAGCGCGGCACGCTGCGTTGGAGGCGAGGGTGCGTTCGCGCGACCTCACTCGGGCAGCCTACGCGCCAAGCAATGTCGGCGCAGGCGACCCCGCTGCTTCGTCGCTCAAAGGGGGAAAGAAGAGGGCGGCTACGGAGGGAGAATACCTGGGGGGGGAGCCTCGCGCGTAGAGAGTCCTCGCCAGGAGGAATGCGCAGGCGGCCTGAGGCACCGAAAACTGGTGTACTGGAAGGTGAGCGGTCAGCGCAAGCTGCCGAACAGGAAGCTGGAACCACACATGGCTGGATTCACAGGTGGATCACATGGAGGCCACGCCCTGGGTACACATATGGGAGCCCAACCTACAAAACCATATAAGGGCAGAGCGCGGGAAAGACATCTGGTCACATGCGTATCCAGCTCTCGCCCAGGCTAGCGACGTAATGTGTACCCAACTTCCTAGAAGATAGATGACGAAGCCCCTTTCTGCCCGACTGGCCCCACAAGCGCCTGGGTGCATGAAAAGCTCTAGAGGAACAACCGTGCAGGGGCCCAAAGAAGAGCGAGCCCTGTCCGAACCCGAGCTGTTCACAGGGTATTGACTGTGCCATCGAGGTCTCGTGGGTGTGCGTCCTCGTCTCATCCGCCTCCTCTTCCTTTCCAGCAACGTGCTACTGTTTACGCACCACACGGTGAAACATGACGCGATCACACGCTGAAGCGCTCCTGAGTATTTCCGCTTATACGGCAATCGTCCAGCCAGTGGGAGAACATGCTGCTGCACCACCGCCAAGCAGACAGAACAGCCTTCACTAGTATCAACGGTCTGCAAGGCTGCCATCGCGATTGCACCTCGACAGCGGGTGCCGACTGGAGAAGCGGACAGTGCACCGGCCCGAGCACCGCCTGCTGCAAGTCGCACGCCTTTTTATACTTGACACGCTCTCCACCCCGCCCTGCAAAACTCGGGAGTGGGATGGCGAACGCAAGACGCGTGGAAGAACTGTCCGCCTCTGGAGTCCCCGGTCTCTCTCTCTCTCTCTCTCTCTCAGCCAACCGAGCGGATCTCCTGACCGCCAGTGCTGCGAGGCAGGTGGTGCCAGGACCACCCAGGGTACACGAACACCTCCCGAGTGGGAAGGCATTCGGTCGCTATCGCTTGAATCGCCGCAGCGCGAGAAAAGTGGAAGAGGATGGGGACGAGTAGGGCGGTGCATGGGATGGCTGGATGGTGGCCACCGTGGGCGGGCAGTGGGCGCTGCGGGGACAGCAGCAGGAGGGCTGCTGGGAGAAGAGCCCTCCTGGGCATGACCCCGTCCTGCCTCCGCGCCCAGACCTCAGCGGAAACGGCTCGGAGGAGAGGGAGGAATCGGACTCCTCCAGCTGTCTCCTGGAGCCTGAAGCTGAGACAGGTGGAGGAGGGGGGCCACCCAAACTTTTTTTGTCGGCGGCCAGCGGAAAGAACTACCTAAACGGGCTCACCGTTCTAGCGAATTGGCCAGCATGCAAGAGAGGGAACACAGGACAGAGCGGGCGGCCGCGGGGGAGGAAGGGCGAGGGCCACTCAGGGGGGACGGATCACTTCCCCCTGTGGGGGGTCACCCAAACACCAGACGTCCCAGGCGGACCGTGTGCGGATGCAGGGAAGAAGCTCTAGACGGATCCACCCCAGGGCCGCCCTGCCAGTCCGTGCAAGGCATACGGCAGCCTGCCCGCGAGGTGGGCGGGGTGACCAGCCAGATCCGTTCCCAACCCGGTTTCACTTCGTGCCGCAACGACCCCAGTCTCCCCAGACCTTTTCACGCCCTTGGAAACCACCTTCCTGCGAGGCAGGGATTTGTCCATTTCCACCGCCTGGGAACCGGCGCCCTGGTGCCCCAGCGGGCGGTGGATAATGTATCACTGGGGGCCCGAATATCTCCATATCCACCGTCTGTTGAAGCCCCCGGAAATTGATCCTCCAAGCGGTGGTCATGTATAAATTCCCGCCTCGGACTTCCGCTTTACCCCTGCCCCCGCTCTTCAGCACCGCGGCAAGCTGGATCGAGCAGGGCAACGAAGCGATCGTTGAAGCCTGGCATTGCCCCCCTGTCTCCCATGGAAGCCCCCCTGCTAGCCGGGTCCGCTCCCAGCCGAAAGTGCCTCCCGCGGCTAATTACGGCCCCAGCCCCGTCCTATGGGAGGCCAGGGCAGTGGGTAATCGAAGCGGCGGAGAAGGACTTCGGGGGAGACGACCCTCCCTACAATCGCGACGACCCCAGCCCCCTCAGACCTAAACGGCCGCGGCAGGCTGAGTAGTCGAAGACAGCGACTCCACTCACATGCCCAGACCCGCTCCCAGGCCCAGCAGGATCTGCAGGAGGGAGGGGGGGAAGGAAGGGAGAAACGAGGAGGCATTCGGCGGGGAGAGGTCGAAGGATGAAGAGTCTGGAAGGGATGCGGGCGAGGACGAGGAGGAGGAGGAGGAGGAGAAGGAGAAGGAGGAGAACGTAGGAGGAGGAGGAGGAGGAGGAGGAGGAGGAGGAGGAGGACGTAGGAGGAGGAGGAGGAGGAGGATAATGATGATGATGATGATGATGATGATGATGATGATGATGATGATGATGATGATGATGATGATGATGATGATGATGATGATGATGCTTATTATGATTATGATGATGATGATGATGATGATGATGATGATGATGATCATGATGCTGATGATGATGCTGATGATGATGGTGATGATGAGGAGGAGGAGGAGGAGGAGCTCAACGTAGGAGAGATGGAGGAGGACGAGGAGGAGGAGGAGGAGGAGGAGGAGGAGGAGGACAATGATAGGATAGGATCGGGCTCGGCCTTGCGCGTGCGTGGGGGGGATGTCCGCAGCTATACACCGTATATATCACTCGTTCAAACTGCGACCTCTAACAGTCCCATCTTTCCTATACGAGGTCATGGGTAACGCGCGCCGTGCAGCACTCGTTGAAGTAAATGAACTAGGGTGGAGAGGGGCGGGGTGAGAGGGAGGATGAGGATACTCACAAGTCAAAGAGAAGACAGCTCAGGAGCCTGATGTCGTAGTACGCGTCGAACAGCAGAGCCTGAAGTCTGGCTTCGGAGGGAAGCGGGCAGGATGGCGAGGAGCAGGAGAGAGAGAGAGAGAGAGAAAACCACCGTGATACTGAAGGGGCCCTGGGACACACAAATAAACCCACACAAATGACAGGATTCCCCACATTCTCCCATGGTTTCTTGGTTTTTGTCTCCCCCCCCACTTCCCATATGTTCCCGTATTTTCCGGGGGATCGACGATTCATGGTGCCTGTGTGTTTGTTCCCCCTCCCGAGATGCTTCACTGGGGTGCGTTCCCCCCTCCCTCCCCCGGAGCTGGGTTGCATATGGCAAGCCGCTCCGCGGCCGATCGGGTGATTCGTGGTGGGCCGAAGCTGGCGGAGCGACACGCCAAGCCATGCTTCGGGGATGGACAGAGCCCCCTTTAGTACAACGTGGTTTAGTGAAAACGACCTCGGGCCCAGACCTGGCGGGCGCAAGCCTGGAAAATAACGGCCGCGGCGCCCTCTCGAGAACCGAAAACGGACACTTCACTAATGGACGTGTCAGGGTGGGGGTTCTGTCCATCCCCGAATGCTTCCTGGCCGTGCTGTTGTCCGTTCCCATCGCTGCCTGTCTTGGGGGTGAGTCGGCCGCCTTGGCACTTCATCCAGCTCTGCCGAACAACTCGTCTCTCTGGCCTCTGGCCTCCTCCTTCTTTCCTCTCCCTCCTCACCTCCATCTTCTGCCTCCTGCAAGGGCCCAAACTCTGCCATGAACGTGACTGGCTGCAAACAAATCCCTCATCCGTCCTCTTCCGTCCTCCACCTCCTCCTCCGCCTCCTCCTCCGCCTCCTCCATCCATTCCTTCTCCTTACAGATGACTCCTCCCTGTCGCACCCCGAGGCCAGTCGAAAGGACGGGCTGGGCGTTTCGCCTGAGACACCATCACCAGTCATGACCCTGATGCTTAAACTTTGACAGCAGTGTCACGGATGGAGGGCGCCTCGTTTTCAAAATGTGGCTATCGCCTCAACGATACGCACATTGTCTCCAAACAGTTGCAAGATATTCACGGGTTGAGGGCGGGTCGTTTTCAAAATGTGGCCTTCGCCTTAGCGACGCGCACATTCGTTTTAAGCATTTGCAAGAGCTTCGCAGATTGAGGGCGGGTTGTTCTCTACATGTGGCTCTTACCTTAGCGCCGCGCACACATGTTTCTAACAGCTTGCAAGAGCTTCACGGATTGAGGGCGGCTCGTTTTCAAAATGCGGCTCTCATCTCAGCCCCACGCGCAGTCGTTCTAACATTTCCAAAACGTTTCACGGATTGCGGGCGGTTCGCTTTCAACATGTGGTTCTCGCCTTCGTGCCACGCACATTCGTTTTCAAACATTTGCAAGAGCGTCATGGGTTCTCAAGGTTCACGTACAAGAAATGGTATTTTGGAGCGATTCAGGATTGTCAGGGCGCACCAGTTACGTTGATTCGCAGTATTGAAATCCCAGGCATGCTGTTCTGGCAAGATTCAGGATCGCCAAGACGTAAGAGTCTGGTTATCTCGTGGCGTTGAAGTCCTGAGAATATTTTTTGGCGCGCTCCAATATATTCACACGGCTGTCTCCCAACGGGGCAATTTCCTCAGAAGAAGTGGCCCCTTGTAGGGGCCAATGAAGAGGCATCTTGGAGGGAGGGTGTATCTCAATATCTTTGATGCGTCCTCGGCTTGCACTGGACCCTCCTCCTCCTCCTCCTCTCCTCCTCCTCCCGGTCTGGCCACCAACTTAGAGGGGTCACTCCCCCCCGTCGCTTCCGCGTGCCCCGCGTCTCCCCCCCCTCCGCGTCCTTGAAGGGTGCGGTGTCGTCACCCTGTGGCGGCGGCACGTGCGCGACGATGGCCTCGACCGGGGGACGCGCGAGGCCACTGATGCAGTCGAGCCCAGGCCAGGACCACACTCCCCTCAAGAATCTGAGGCCCTCCGCCGGCCAAAACACACAGGACGTCCAAAGGCCCCCCCCCCAGGATGCACGAGAGCATCCAACAGGCACGAAGAACATCAGGGTGCCCTCGCCGAACCGACCTCGAAGCTGCACCTGGGTCCGACTGCAGAGGGGGGGAGGGAGGGCGAAGGGAAGATGGAGGGACCAGCCGGGAGAAGCCGCAGAAGAGGGAGCGAGGCAACTGGCACGAGGGAGCGATGGCCCAAGCCGGCCCGAAGCAGGACGACGAGGGGCCAGCAGGACGGCGGCAAGGGGGGGCCAACAGAACGCGGAGAGGGGAGCGACGAGCGAGGAGCGGCAGCGGAGAACCGAGGGAGACAGACGGACACACACACACACACACCGACACACCCACACACACCGACACACCCACACACCCACCCCACCCATCCACCCGCGCACGCACGCGCGCACGCACGAAGGCACACGCACGCACATAAACATACACGCAACCACAAACACACACACACACACGCACACGCATACAAACACACACACGCGAGCTTCTAAGGGGCCCAAGCACGCGTACACACACACACACTCTCTCCTCTAAGGTGCCCAGCCACACTCACACAGGGGGCCGAACAAACACACACACACGAACACACACACATACCACGCAGCACACAGCACACAACACACAATTCACACCATACAACAAATAACCCAGGCAGACAGACAAGCACATACAAACACGCAGATCCACATCCACAAACATATCCACATCGACACACAGATCCACATCCACATCCACACGCACCACACAACACTCAACACACAACACACAACACACACAACACACGCATGCATACGCGTACACACAACACACACACACGTACGCACGCACGCACACACATACTTTTGGCGATCGAGCGCGCAGCGACGAGGCGAATCCAAGTCCCCAACACACGCAAACACACCCACACACACACACTCACACACCCACACACACACACGCACACACACACACACACACACACGCACACACACGCACACACACACAAACGCAGACACCGATACATACAAACTCACACTTACACGTATACTCATACACACAAACACACTTCGAAAGAAGCCAAGGGCACCTCGACCGAGGCCCCGAGGAGGAAAGAACAAAACAAGAGTCACCACAAGGCCTCGGGTTCATTTTTTTCCAGTAGTGCCGTCTTCCGAAGCAAGAAAGGGTCCTGGAGTTCACTGCGGGGTCATCTGCAACAGGCTCGGCTCGAGGGAGGCATGACTTTTGTTGCGCTCCGAGCGGGGCGACGACTTGAGGCACGTGTGCTCAACCCAGGTCGGCGCGGCACCGATGCCGCACGGAGGACTTAAACGAGTTTGTTAGTCAAAATGTCATCTGTATACTGGGTTTAGCTTCGCTGAGATTGCATCGCCTGTGACGCATACAGACACACACACATACACACACGCACGCCGCCAGGGGGCTTCAAATCATGTCCCAGAAATCCGCGCGGAGCTCAGATCTTCGCGGTGGCTAGGTAGGGTCACTTATGCCGTCGCCCATGCACGCCTGCTGGCCTCATCCCCAAGGGACTGGGGCTGGAGGCCAAGGTGCGGACGAAGCTGGGAACAGGCGCCGGTTGCGGCATGATGGGGGCATGTTCTAGAGGGAGTATGAACCGTCAGAGACATTATGTTTATGCCGTTTTTGTTGATCTTAGAACCTGCAGGCCGCCGCGACAGCACTGCAGCTGAGGCGGCGTCCGGAGGCACGGTGCTTGCAGCAACGATGCAACAGCGGGCAGGAACATCTGCTCAGCGCGTGTCGCGGCGGCGGCCCCAGCGACGCGCCATGCCCTGCAAGCGGACAGCATGTCGCCCAGCTCCGCGGGGCGGGAGGCTGGGAAAGGCTCGGGACGTTCACGCTCGGGGACCGGGACGTAGACAGCGTGTCGCGCCGAAGCGCAGAGGGCCCAAGCTGGCGGCGCGACACGCTGAGCGAGGCCCCCGACCGTACGAGCTGGGGGTCCCCGGAACGGTTCGGCGGCAGACCGTGTGGTGACCCTGGGGCCCCTAAAGACCTCATCGCACGGCCCGCCACCTCAAGGCTTTGGGCCCCTGCAAAGCCCCAGTTGCCCGAGACAGCCTCGGAGAACGACCCAGGTCCCAATCAACGGTGTGATCACCGCACTGTTTTGGGACCTCTGGACGGTGTCGGCGTTCGAAAAGCAGAGCCCAATCACCCGGGGACGTAACCCGCTCCGGTCGGTTGGCAGCACCCAAGGGGACGAGGTCTCGCCTGGGTGCGCATGAGGGGACACTCCGCTGGACCTCCCAGGGGCCCGCTGAACCCCCCCAAGTCGCGACAGCTGAACGCTTGGTGACACCCAGGGGGGCGAGGTCCAGTCTGGACCTGCGTTGAGCCGCACACTGCTGGACCCCCACCAGGGGCGCCCGAGAACAGCGATCGTCGCACACTGAGCAGCACCTGCAGCAGGTGCGTACTTTACGAAGACATCTTGCCTGCAGTCTGCACCAGGAAAAAGCAGGACCTCCGCGGGCCCCCGCGGCATCCGGGGTATACTGCACTTCCACAGGGGCACCTGTTGGCAAGCCAGTTTCTTACCCATCGAGGAGGAGGAGGAGGAGGAGGAGGAGGAGGAGGAGGAGGGGAGGAGGAGGAGGAGGAGGAGGAGGAGAGGAGGAGGAGGGGGAGGGGGAGGGGGAGGGGGAGGGGAATGAGGAGGAAGGCGGGGGAGGGGGAGGGGAGGAGGAGGAGGAGGAGGAGGAGGAGGAGGAGGAGGGAGGAGGAGGAGGAGGAGGAGGAGGAGGAGGGAAGTCGCCCCAGGGGGGGGAGGTCGCGTTTGGGTTTGCGTGAGACTGCATCGCCCCCCTTATGTGCACCCGAGGGCACGCAGAGAGCGCGAGGTCCGGCTCGGGCCTGCGCCAGAACGCGCAGGCGCTCCGCTGTGCACCCCACGTGGGCGCAGAGAAGCTGCAACTGCCCACGCTTGGTGACAGGGGCGAGGGCTAGACTGCGTCAGCGGCGCAGCACCGCGTTCCGCTGGACCCCAGAGGGATGCAGGGAGGCGGCGCCAGTTGCTTGGCAACGCCTGAAGGATCCTGAAGGGATTGCGGAGCCATTTTTGGGGTTTGCGCCAGACCGCATTCCAATGGAGCGCCGCCATTCGCGCAGCAAGGCGGCGAGAGTGCTCGGGGGGAGGGAGGGACTGAGTTCTGGTTTGTTTGGGTCCGCGCACGCACTCCGCTGGACCTTCAGGGCGCGCGAACTTGGCGACACTTACGCGGATGGCCACCGCGACGCGCAAGAAGGGCAGGCCTAGGGTTGAGACCGTAAGAGGGACGATGAGGAGAGGGTGGAGGATGAGGACAACGACCTGGATGGAGGTGGACAATATGGATGGAGATGAGGACGAAGCTGAGGATGATAAGAATGAAGACGATGGTGAATCTGGTAATGGTAATGATGATGATGATGATGATGATGATGATGATGATGATGTTGATGATGATGATGATGCTTATGATGATGATAATGATAATGATGATGAATGATGATGATGCTGATGATGCTGATGATGCTGATAATGATGCTGGTGCTGTTGATGGCGATGCTGCTGATGATGCTGATGGTGCTGATGTTGATGAATGTGCTGATGCTGCTGATGATGCTGATGATACTGATAGTTAATGGTGGTGGTGATGCTGGTAATGATGACGATGCTAATGATAACGATGGTGATGACGATGACGATGACGATGACGATGACGATGATGATGATGATGATGATGATGATGATGATGATGATGATGATGATGATGATGATGATGATGATGATGATGATGATGATGACGATGACGATGAAACTGAAGAGGAGGTGAGGACGATGAGGAAGATCTGGAGGACAAGGGTGTGAATGGCATGATAGAGGATATAGGTGAGGATTGGTAGCAGCAGCACGTGTCCCAACACAAACACGATCGGAATCAATCCACGGAGCTGGAGGAAGATGAGCAGCAGGATCTGGAGGAAGGAGGATGACAAAAACAAATATTGCGGGGATGAGGATGAAACATAACATATACGTTGGCGCATGCATGCTCGTTTTAGCCGCGATACAAAAAAACTTGGTAAGCAGGGGATGCGAGAAAGCGACAGTCAACTTAAATAACACCATCTGAGAATGATAAGGATATGCAACTATCATCCGAAGAACCCCGCGAACGTCAAGGGCCAACCAACTCGAACCGTATCGGGCCATAGACGGCTCGGGTGGCTCACCAGTCGGCCCAAATGCGCCCAGCACCTGAGCGTTGAGGGCGACGGTGCCATCATCGGAGCTGGCCTTGGCAGCCACATCGTCCAACTCAGGATCGATGCGGGGTCGGCCGTCGATCATCCTGCCATGCAGGTGGACGAAGGCGCGCCCCTGCCGATAGCAGGCTCTGCCGACCCAGCACAGGGTCTGCCTGGCGCCAAGGGGGGGGGGCGTACGTCTCGAGGAGGGGCCGATTGGTGCACACCACTGTTGCGTTGATGCTGCATGTCTTCGTCCTCCTCCTCCTCCTCCTCCTCCTCCTCTTCGTCCTCGTCCTCCTCCTCCTCGTCCTCCTCCTTCCCCCTTCCAACTTATGGTGGTGGTGGTGGGAACCAGGCCCATCATGTCTTCCTTTTGCTCTCCCGCGGGCTGCCGCGGGGCCCTGACGCTCCCGGCGCGCCCGAGCGGCCCGCAGCCGCGCGCAAGAAGAGGGCGCACGCCACGGCGCGAGCGGCTCTGCTCTTCGGGAGCGGCCAAGAGGGGTGTGTGTCCAAGAGGGGGGGGGTGCAAATCATGACCGGCGGCACGTGCGCGGCCCAGCGGGGGGGCCAGGGGCGTAATGAAACAAGAAGAGGCGCCATGAAATCTGGGGATATATCATGGCCCCCGCCATGATACCCCCCCCCCAGACCTCCCCCCCCTCTTTGCCGCCCCCGAGCTCTGGCTGCCGCCGTGCTCTTCGCGGACGCCGCCGAGCGAGCTGGCGCCGGGAATGGGACGCACAAAGACATACTAAGTACTAGATGTTCTCCTTGGAGGCGCGCGTCCGACCGCAACATCTAGTAGACCCATCTTGTAGTAGATCGTTTCCCGAGCGGTGTGGCCAGAAAGCGCCCGCCAAGACGCATATACTATAAGATTTCTCGGTGCGCGCGTCGCCCCTGGGGGGGCGACGCACGTATAGTGTAAGTGTGTTGGGGTGACGACGAGGGAGAGCCTCCGGTCCACGGGGGCGATCGCCTGGGGAGCGGCGCTCGGCCAGGACAGCCCACGCCACCAGGTTGCGAGCGAAGCGGTGCCCAGGCAGGCTGCCTGCCGACGGGGCTCGCGGTCTCCCCAGCATGCCGTTGTTGAGCGACTGCCACCGTAGCCGCACCCATCGTCCAGAAGAAGGGAGTCGAATAATGACGTAGGAAGGCGTTGGGTATGGCGGGTTCCCGCCAGGCCCCCCGAACACAGGAGGACAGCTGGAATTCAACCGGCTTGTGAAATGGCAAGGCTTTCAGGTACATAGGGATCTGGGAATCCTGAGGTACGGACATTTAGCAGACGATGGGTACTTACTTGTCAGCCGTCCATCTCCCACTGCAAGCGTACGTGTGGGTTCCATCTCAGCAAGTACTAAGAAGCATTTGGTCGACACCGTGGTTTCAACGATGTCCTTGATCGTACTAGGAAGCTGTCGCAGCAGCCCTTAACTGGTAGTCTGCAGCCACACGCCCTATGCATTCATCGATGCGCTCGCTGATGGAGAGAACGCGCTGCGCCACAAGGTGCAACAATGAACCCGCGAATACATACGTGAGGAAGACTCACCTGCATCACGGCGACAAGAACTCTCCTCCAGCTTGCATGCGTCATTACTGCCAGAGCCCTCCTCTAGTTTGCCCTTGCTTTGAACAGCGAAGTCGCACAGTTCATGCCACCCACAAAGCACCGTGGGATGCGAGCTGCGAGTCGTATGTGTGCTGTGCAGATTGGAGAAGCTGCGGGATTGAAGCCCTGGGAGGCGGGTTTGGTAAGCGCACGTGGAATCAGGACACAGTGGATTGAATGCGGACGAGGTCGCCCGATTCGCTTATCTGGATGCAACGCGAGGTGCTCAGACAGGTCGAATGAGAGGCGCATGAGCAGGATAAACACTCAGAGCCGAATGCCCAACGTCGAAGATGAACTCGTCAGCCTACGGATCCGTAAAGCACCTCAAGTTATGTCCAGCTATCGTCAACGGCAAGGCTCGTCTTCTCGTGGGCGCGGTGAACGTGTTCAGAGTGGTGCTGGGTCCGAGCGGGCCACCAACACTGTCAGGCGCACGAGATCGACCATCAACCATCGCAGGCTGCGCGAGGATCGGCGACACGCAAGAGTGACCCTGGGTAAGAGTGACCTTTGGTGCGCGGCTCTTTGGGGGCCGCGGGGAGACCAAACCTGGGCGCGCAGGCCGCTGCTGCCGCTCCGCCTTCAGCCATCGGAGGGCCCCTCTGTGCCCGCACCAAAGGCCACTCCGGCGATAAGGTCACTCCTACGTCTAGTCTCGGGTCGGGCGAAAGGGGGGGATAGCAAAGGGGGGTTTGAGAATCAGCTCACGTAGCTGATTTTCCCGCGCCTCTCGGCGCCGGGAGGCGCCCATATATCGAGGAATGGGCCCCTCGGTGGGCCGAAACCAGCTGCATGCAGCAAATTCGTAACCCCCCCTTTCCCAATCCCCCCCTTTCGCCCGGCCCGATAGTCGAGAGGAAGGCTGAGCAGAGCAGGCCACCGCCGCTCACGCCGACCCCTCCGCGGCATCCCGCGAGGACGGCGGAGCCGCGCCCCTGCTCCCCGGCGGCGAGCGCCACGGCTCTCCGCGCCGCGCACCCGCCGCGGGCGCGCCGGCCTGCACCTCGGCCTTCGCCGGCCCGCCCCCCACACAGTCCGCGCGGCGGCGGCGCGCGCCCGAGCCGCCCTCGGGCCGCTCCCAAAATGCTGAGCCCCCCTCCTCCTGAGCGAGCAGCGACATATGTACATGTACGCCCTCCGCGATCTTGAGTGCACGAACGTCCTCATGCCCTCCAGGGGAAGCTAACCGCGTACGTGTACATATGTTGCTGGCCTCTGACCTCCTCACGGGCAGGCGCCCCCCCAGTCGCATCGACGAGTCGGCTCGGCGCTGGACACGGATCTCGGAGCGGCGGAGAGCGGCGGCCGAGTCGGGGAGCGTCGAATCGGCGTGAGATCGGCAGCCCAGGAGGCCTCCATGCAGAGATCGGAGCCCAGCTCGGAATCCCGAGCCGA